CTGCGCTCACCTCCCTCTCCGCCTGGCTGGTCCTCGCTGCAGGGAGGCAGCTCCATGCGGTTGGCTCTCTTCCATACCGGTGACCGCTGAAGCCTGGGCAGGGCGGCCTTCAGTTCTGCAGGGAAACCCAATGGCCTCAGTCTCCTACAGCACTACTGCATGGAACAAGCTCCAGCCTGATGCTGGACGTGTATTTACTGTATTAATCCCAGGCACCAGACGTTCAGTTAAATAATTAACCCTTTTTTCCCTGCGTGGTCTGTGTGGCACTTGTTTTCTGTACCTACAAAAGCGAAAAGAAAACAGCGCAGAGCAGGGTCTCTGGGCAGTTAAAGTGACATTTTGCAGCTCCGTGTGTGAGGAAGAGGTGGGGGTCGGCCTCACCCTCTGGGCCCAGGAGGGCTCCCTGCTCCCTGAGCTGCTCCTCGTGGACGGACACGGCGCGCCGGTGTGGCGACGGCTTCATCCGCGGCCGGGGCTTCGGCAGATTGTCTGCGAAGGCAGGGACAGGTAGCGCTGCGATCACCGGGGGCCGAACTCGGCTAATCGGCTGCTGGCACAGGCAGCAGTGCGCGACAAAACGCACGCGCCGTCACCGCTGGGTAACGCCCAGAACGCAACGCGGTTTTAAACTGACCTGCATCTGAACGCCATAATAACAAAAAAACCTGGACATCAGAGTGACTGCCTGGAGTATGAATGTTGCACATACTCTTGGTTACTACAGTTTAAAAACACGACTGCTCGTCTTTTGTGTGGTAGCCTAGCTTTTTAGCCTAAAGCTGTCTTTTAAAAAAAAGAAATTATGACACGACTGAAAACACTATTCGACTAACAACTAATGCATTTATAGTAACCTAACGAGCTAAGTGACGATGAGGAATAACTGTGACAAAGATGCCATGCTGGGTCTAGAGGCGACGTACAGTAAGCAATAACACCAGGCCTGTTCTGGCTGTGGAAAGTCTGAAGAAGGACCTTCAGTGGAGGTAGAAAGGTCTGGTAACTGAGATAAGACTAGTTGGGCCTGTGCTGCTTCTCTGCCGTTGACAGCGGAGGCCTGTACCTTCGCTGAGGGCCTGTGCTGTCCGCTGGGGTCTGCCCTGCTGCTCGCCCAGGCTGGCGCCTCTGCGCGGGGAGGGTGTGGGGGCGTCTCTCGGGCAGCGGGGCAGCGGGGCGTCCCCTTCCGCGGGCGGCGCCTCAGGGGAGGGACTGTGCTGGCTGGAGGCTCCAGGCGAGGCCCGGGGCATCAGGAGGGGCTCGCCGGGGTCCGGGAGAGGGGGCCTCGCTGGGGGTCTGGGGGCGGCGGGGGCGGGCCTGTCGGGACACTCCGCCGCGGCAGCCGGTCGCGCGGGCCGTCTCATGTCTCCATGGGGGGGAGGAAACAGGAAGAGGCGAGTGAGCGAGCTGGGACTGCTGGGACTCCGGCCCGCGCACGAAGAGCAGCGCTCTTGCCTTTACCTGAGGAGGTGGACATGGTGCGGGGCTTCAGGAAGGGGGGCGGTGGCTCGGGCTTGCTGTCCATGATGGTCCCTGGGGAGAGAAAACCGGAGCTGACCAGGCCTCGCGGCAGCACTGCTCGAGCACGAGACCACAGCACAAAGAACGACTGCCAGCCTGCATCACGCTGTGGACGGCGATTCCAACAAATGCCTTAGAAAAAGTACTGGAGCTAGAAAGTTCTGTTTTTTTTGTGTGGAATTGAAATAATAAGAATAATTGGGCAAGTCCAACCAGAGATTCTTCTCTGCCATTAATAATTCAAATTAGTGGTAAATAGTTATAGTTTAGCATAGATGGGTGCTAAAATCTAATACACATTGTTCACTCCTTGAGGGTCACAGTGCCTGCTTTATTTACATCAATTGGCCTCAATGACCACTGTTTCCAAACCAGTGACATTTCTAAGTTGTCTGTAATACCTGGTAGACTGCCTCTTCAAGAGTGAACTGCACTGGTCTAAGACACTTCGGCACAAAAAGGATGAATATTCAACAGGAAGCATGTCAGACATCTGACTGCTCTGCATAACAGACTCCTTCGCACCTCTCCAGTGCATTCTGCGTCTCATCTAAATGAATTTCATTGCTAACTTACCTTCCGAGTCCGCCTTTCTTAATTCTCCCTCCTTATTCTGCAGAAGAAATGAAGAGATGTGATTGATTGATGTCTGCAATAACCTTTCCATCCCATTAACCATTGTAACCAGCACCTGTACCATGTCAAAGACTGTTATAGAATTCACTCGATGAGAGACATCAGGTGAAAACACAGGTCACAGCTGTGATGCAGTTTGGCCAGTAGGTGGCACTCTTCCCTTTGGACAACATCCAGATCAGTGCCTTTACTGTCATGACGGGGGGGGGCACTGTACAGCAGAAGGTGACGGTTTCTGGCTTAAATAGCAATATACAGTCCAAACTGCATATATTAATATCCCAGATTACCTTTTGCACAAATATTGGGTGTAACCACAGTGACAGGTGACGAATCCCCAAAACAGATTGTAAGAATTCTGATTGATATACAGTACAGGTTCATACCTGGAGCATTGGACAAGCCCTACAACGTTGGGGTTAAGGTAATTGGTGATAGTGGAATTAGATGTCCTCTGGGACCTCCCAGTTCAATAATGTATCCAGAATCCTCCTACCGTAAAAATCCTTACAATATCGGAAAACAACTTCCATGCCAAGGCAGTCAGGACTAATGGCCTGCCCTGCAGTCTGAGCACTGACCCCACTCTAAACCGGCAGCCTCACCTGGCCTTTCTTCGACTCAGAGGGAAGCACCTTGGCGACACCAATGCGGTGCAGCATGGCGTGAACTCTGTGCTCAAAGGTGGACTGGCCTTCGGGAGGGCCTTTATCTGGAAAAGGTTTCTGCAACAAGAAAGTGGGACAGATTTATTGTGGTGCCGCGCCGAGAGTCCTGTCTGCTCCATTCGTTTTTGCTTGAGGTCGTCCAAGTCTGCGTCTTTTTCTTTGACACCTCGGATCAAATCCGGTCAAAAACGAACCTTTCACGGTGAACCTGAATTTGATGGAGGCAGCACTCGAATTATATCATTTTGGAAGGAAAAAAGGGACTATTCATGCAGAAGAAATTTGACTCCTGTTGCAGAACTTAATAACTGCACCAAGAATCCCCTTGGCCTTCAACTCAAATGCTACAGTGCAGCTCTGCGCAGAAAGGCTGCTATCAGGTGCATGCACACTGGGAGAGAGGAAGAGGACATGAGTGCTGGCAGCAAAACAAAAGACTTCCTCAGGTGTCATTGGACTGTCTCCCTGGTGCGAATACCTGGCGCAAAGTACTTCTGCTAGACCTCAAGGAGCAAGTCATGACCTCTCATAGATCACAGTGTGTGACTGAATTCTAGTATGTGAGCCAAGGTTAGACATGTACACAGAAAGAGATCCAATCTGAGAGGGTAAATCATAAATAGGCAAAATTAAGGTAATGAAGGTTATTGTTTTATTATTAAAGTTTCAACAATGAGCGGGTAGACCATGCAAATTAAACGAAGAGGCAGCACACAGCTGTCAGGTCCTCTGAAGTTCTTGTCCCCACTGTAATCTCAAGAAACAGCCATCTCGGAGGCAGAGGAGCTCTTTAAAGGGTGGCAGATATGAAGCGATAAGCACTGAACACAGCCTGGCCCAACCGCTGTACAATTTTACTCATTGGTGTATTTCTGCATTGCTAAAGTTCTCAAGCTATTAATCAAGTTCATTTAATACAGTGCTCTTAATGCCACAGGCTTGGAGTGTTTGACAGTGATGAATGCAAATGAATTGCAACCCAGATAGAGATCTTTCAGGCTTTTTTGCTTTTATAAAAAGTAGCGATTGCAAATTGGATTTTTGGATTTTTCTTGCCTTTCTTCTATAAAGACTTTTATCGTTATATAAGGCAGCTCATGATTAGAGGTATTCTTTCCAGGCCCCAGTTTTATGCTCAGGCCAGACAAATAAGACTGAGTATTGAGCATGAAGCAGGGGACAGGACAAGGTACAGTATTTGTAATGGGATCAGTGTCTCTGCCGTTATGCAGCCAGCTGTGGCACAACTGGTCAGCTCTGCAGATACAGACGGCAGCCCTGCTGTGGACAAACTCTGGTGGTCCCTTGAATTGCAACACACATGACAGCAGGGATCCTCTAATGCACTTCAGCCAACAGTGTCAAACAATGCAGAGGCAGATCGTTGTGCAATGTTTAATTACAAACAAAAGTGTTCTGGGGAAATAAAGAACAAACCATGCAAAACCACTCTAAAATCACTGTACTTCCTAGCTCAAGTTCAAAAACAGGACAACACAAAACCTCGGAATGCTCTGAATGTGTCCTGCGAGTCCAAGTTTTTCCTCTTGACAACCAAGATGACAACCATCTGTTACCTTCATCTTTCTTGTGAACTCTCTCTCCTCACTGAAAGTGCAGAACAATTCTAAGGTGCCGTCTTTTGGATGAGATGTAAAACAGATGTCCTGACTCTCTGTGGTCATTAAGAATCCCTGGGTGTTTCTCGAAAAAAAGTAGGAGTGTTACCCCGATGTCCTGGCCCAAATTCCCCCCTGGCCAAAAAATGATGGTAAAAATCATGGCCTCCTAATATTCCCCCCTCTCTGAACTGGCGACATCACTCTGCTCTCCTCCCTACTGAGAGCTGGTGTGTGGGGAGTGTAATGGCACACAATGGCTGCTGTCACATCATCCAGGTGGATGCTGCACACTGGTGGCGGTAGTGGGATTCCCCATTACCTGTAAGCCGCTTCGACTGGAGTGGCCAGAAAAGCGCTCTAAGAGTGTGAGGATGATTATGATGATCTGAGCACAGAGAGCACGAAGGTCTCTGTACTGCAGTAACTCTCGTTGACGCGCTGGTTACCAGCGCACAGCAGGGCCGCGGCTGGCGGTATGTTACCTTCCCATGGCCGCCAGGCGCGGGCTCCTCCTGGTCCACCCCGGGCAGCAGGATGAGCGACTGGGACTTGCCCTCCCTCAGGGAACGGCGCGTCGGCTTCAGCCTCCTCTCCGCGTCGGGCGTGCGGCTCTTCTCCCGGTCGCCGTCGGGGCTCCTGCCCGTGTCCGGGTCCGCGGCGGGGGGCGGGACGGGG